CCCAGACCTCCCTCAGTCCAGCAGACCCGCTTGGTTCTGACAGGATGATAACCTTCAGCAAAAACATCAGCTTCATGCGATGAAAACATAATTTACACTGTGAAGAAGAAGAAGAAAGTCAGCCTTATTCAAACAGAGAACAGGTGTGGCAGGGTGGGAGTGAGGGGGAGGCAGGTGGGACCACTGACCAGGGTCCAAGAAAACAGGAGGTGAGGAGGAGAGTCCAGGCAGGATGAGATTCTCAGAGGTAAGCACAGGTTGAAGGACTCGATGGAGGAGACCCCTGAAGAGGGAACAGCCACAAGAAGAACAGTTTGAACTTATACTTCTGATAGAACATCTGAGTTTCGATAACTTTAACTTCTTATGAAGGAGCTCTGAGAAACGTGATGTTTTTCTGTAGATAAAAGTGTAAAAGGGTCACTTTTTGTCTGAGCACAAACTGCAGCTGGATTAGGACCCTGTCAGTCACTGTCAGATAGGACCTTTTTCCAGGTCCTATAGGACTTTGTAGGACCCTTTTTGGACTCTGTAGGACAGTATAGGACCATGGAGGACCTCATAATGTCACTTCTCATCTGAGCACAAACTGCAGCTGTAGGATTATGACCCTGTCAGACACTGTCAGACTCTGTAGGACACGATAGGACCTTGTAGGACCCTTTTCAGACTCTATAGAACCTTGCAGGACTCTGTAGGACCTTGCATGACCCTTTTAGAGCTCTGTAGGACACTATAGGACATTGTAGGACCTTTTTCAGACTCTGTAGGACCTTGTTGGACGCTGTAGTATGTTCTAGGACCCATTTTGAACACCATGGGACCAAGTACGGCCCTTTTTGGACTCTGTAGGACCATTTAGTACCATTTTTAGACTCTATAGAACCTTCTATGACCCTTTTCAGACACTGTAGGACCTTTTAGGACCCTTTTCAGACTCTGTAAGACCTTGTAGGACTCTGTAGGACCTTGTTTGACCCTTTTCAGACTCTGCAGGAGTAGGACCTTGTAGGACTCTGTAGGACCTTGTATGACTCTTTTCAGAGTCAGTAGGACCCTGTTGGACCCTTTTTGAACTCAGTAGGACCCTGTAGGATCTTTTAGGACCCTGTAGGACCCTGTTGGACCCTGTCTGCAGAGCATGTATTGTTCCCACCGTGCATTTTTAGATTGTGTTGACCAGTTTGTCCAGAAACAATCAGTGAAGTCAGATATTTGTCACTCATTTCATTTTAACGGTTGTAAAGTCACCTTTCACCTCTTTAATGTGCCGTCAGAGACCCGCTCAGTCCCAACACCAGGAGCTGCATTAAACCTGAGTCCAGCAAACAACTTCCTGTGTTTCATGTGAGGAGGAGGTAATGAGAGCAAACGGCTCGGTCTCTGAGCGTCTGCGGCGGGATCAGCTGTCCAATGAACTCTGGTGTCGCTCTTACTGGGACCACGACAGAATACAGGACGGTTCTGTTCGGTTTTATGGGATGAAACCTGAGCCGAGGGGGGGGTCAACAGAGCGCTGCCACTTTCAACAATGCAGACCCGTTACCGGTCCAAAGTTCACGTAGGCAGTTATGTCACTTCCTGTTTAAAGTGAGCATGTGCCCCATGAGCCTCACAGCACAGCTCAGCCAACCAAGTATTGATGAACGTCTGTTTGGAGAGATCAGGTTCTGGTGCTGTGGAGTAAAACCTGAAGGAGCTGAAGGGTGAAGAGTTCACTCGGAGGAGGTGACACCGAGGTTCTGTGACTTCATGCACACAATAACTCAGCTTTTTACTCCAAGTGAACCCAAAGTCAGCAGGAAAAACAGGAGGAAAAACGTTTTCCTGAAATTAATGAACGAGCTTGTTGAAGTATAAACCCTCAACTTGTCTCACATGAACCAAGTCCTGATATTTACTGCCACATCAACCAGCACGGTTTATGACCTCAGCAACAGTGAAGGTAGAAATTAAACAAGTAAACATGTCGAACTTCAGGTACGATGAAGAGCTTACATGTCGGATGACTTACAGCTTCTCCATGTTTACTTTCCCTCTACTTTCAACTCCACTGTTAGTTCAGGTCACCAACTTTCAGAAACTCTGAGTGGACCAGGTGGCGCAGAGGGAGGTCCTGACCAATCAGAGAGAGGTCCTGACCAATCAGAGAGGCCCTGACCAATCAGAGAGAGGTGATAACCAATCAGACAGAGGCCCTGACCAATCAGAGAGAGGTGTTGACCAATCAGAGAGAGGTGTTGACCAATCAGAGAAGCACTGATCAATCAGACAGAGGCCCTGACCAATCAGAGAGAGGTGTTGACCAATCAGAAAGAGGTCCTGACCAATCAGACAGGGGCCCTGACCAATCAGAGAGAGGTGTTGACCAATCAGAGAGAGGTCCTGACCAATCATAAAGAGGTGCTGACCAATCAGAGAGGCCCTGATCAATCAGAAAGAGGTCCTGACCAATCAGAGAGAGGTGTTGACCAATCATGTTTTTAGCTCCCTTCCTGCTACTATTAGCCTTTAGTTAATGCTTTGCTCCTTTTAGCTTTGATTAATCAGTTTCAACTTCTTTCATGAAGTCCAGCTTTCATTGTACAGTCTTTAATAAATGCTGCCTCAGCAGACTTTTCTGGGTCAAGGATCCAGGTCCATCTGTAGCTGGACCCAAACTAAACTGAGCTTCAGCTGCTGTCAGACTCAAAACGGTTCCTAACAGGAAGTTCTCAGCCTTGGTCCGGTTCTGGTTGTTCTTCTAGTGATGAACCCTGAATGTTTGGAGAGTTCTGCTGCGACCCAGAACCTCTGAAGTCCAACTGCTGCCCCTGCCCCCTCCTCTGCCCCCGTCTTCAGGGGGGCTTAATATAGAGCAGGAAACTCGTGTTTTTTTGTTATCTGTTCATCAGAACACTGGCTGCAGACGGCGCTCCTTGGGGTTCTGGTCCAACAAAGACCACTTTATCCCGTCCCGTCGACGAGCTCCCGGTTCTGTTGCCCCCACCTCTGCAGCATAATGTGGTATTGTTCCAACATCTTGCTCAGCTTTTTAGGACCTCTCAGAAAAGGTGAAGTGACTGCTGCACCTGCACTTTCTGTAAACGGGACGTTTGATATTTAGAGATAGGATTGTGCTGAAGTTGTTCCATGTGTTTCCTGACAGAGTCCACTTTGTGCTCAGAGCAACGGTTCTTCTTTGTCAGCAGGGCAGAATTCAAGCTTGTTGTTTGTTTAAAATGCTGCAACAGAAAGGAGAATCAGCTGCAGGAGGAACGAAAAACCTGAAACTAATCAGATATTTTCTTTCTGGTCAAGTCGTGACCCTAACTGTGTTTTTGTTTAATTGAAATAAATATTTCTGTCAGTAATTCTAACATATTTTTGGATGAACCTCCTGAAAAATGTTTTTTAAATTATTTTTATTAACAATCCAAAAGCTTTTCAAACAATGGAAAGAAAATACTTTAAAAAGAAAAAATGAGCAGATTTTGAGGATTTGATCATTTTTTTCTGTCCCTGATGTTTTTAATTCTTAATTAGGATTATCATGCCAATGGCAATCTATTACTATACACCTCTAAACTGGTCTCTTTATTTCCTTTTTATTCATCCGTCACCGTTAATGCGGCCCGAACCGTAGGTTTGGGGCCCCTTAAAAAATACATCAAAACGTCGGCGTCGATCTCACGAGGTGTGCTAAACTTTATCTTTACATTTGCTGATTCAACAGGAAAAGATTATTAAAAATCAAGCCTGACTCAGCATAATTGCTGTTTTACAGCAGGTTCCTGTTCTGCAGCACATAAAACACTCAGAATTACAG